TATGAGGTGGAAGAGCCACCTGAGGTCAGGACTCCATCTTCACACCTCTGCAGGGCCTGGGGCTCCGTACACATCCTCATCGTCACGGCCTCCTGTGGGAAGACGTACAGAGTACACTTTAGCGATCAATCACTATCAACGCACTCGTCTGGATGACACCAAAATATATTGAAGCCACGGTGGCATCACTTTTCAGAGCAGTCCACAAACTGTCTGATGAAACCGTTCATCGATCGTTTGGCTTTTGGCATCGACTTATGAGCCTTCAGCCGCTGAATGAAAAACAATAAGGCTAGGAGAGGTGTTAACTTTGATATTCAGATTGGGTTATTGTTTCTAAACAACAACAACAGTTGTTCATTGACAACCATTTTTAACTACATGGTCTTGGTCACGACTTTATTTGACATCCGGGAGCACAATGAGAGAGTTCCTCCCTGTAGTTGAATATGGAAGTGCTGTGCCAACAGAGGTTTTGGCCCAGCCCTGGTTAAAAAAAAACACTCACAACATAACACAAAGACAAAACCTCATACCACAAAATCTGGCATGAGGTAACATCCTTGCAACCACGATCTACATATATCGAAACACCATAAATCAAAACACTGCAACGTTTGCAGATTTTTAGCTCGTCATTGACTGGAGTTTCAAACGGAACAGAGCGGTGAGAGTCTTCCTCAAGAGATTGAGGCACTCCTGCACGGCTCTGTTAGCGAGCAGAGGGTCTTTACAGGAGGCAGGGCGATCCATCAGAGGACGGGGCGAGCTGAGATGCAAACTGCCCACTTAAAGCGGCTCCACCACCAAACCAAACTCTGAGCAGAAGCAGCAAGAGATTAGCGGCCAGGAAGCTATCAGTCACAGCGAAGTGAGCCCCGCTCATTAGGTCCCGCAAGCTGCTTAGTTCCCACTAGTTTAATGCCTACTGCAGCCATTGCTCAATATGGATTATGATTTCTGATCACATTATTCTCTCAGTTCCAGAGAGCAGTCAACTCTCTAATTACTGTTCTGAGCACAGAGGCCACGTTCATCCGTACCACGGATTGACACTGACTCAATACTATGAATCGGTCGCTGAGACATTTAGTCAGCTTTCATTTGAAACCTTTTTAATGCTGACGATCTGAATTATTATTATGCAGAGCTGTTAAACCGACTTCCTCTGTCATGGGACTGCAAAGGCTGATTCTCTGCTCTACTTTTCTGTCTGCCTCTGTCTCTCTGTTTCAGCTCCACGTATCCATCTACCCATTCATTTTATATAGATTCCTCCCTCTCATCTTGTTTTCTTATTTCCTCACACACACACCCAGCGATGCAAGTGCGAGATCTTTATTGTCATGTCCACAAAAATGACAGAGAAGCAGTTGTTGGTAATGAAATTCCAATTAGTTGTCAGTCCGAATGCTTAGTCACGTGAGTAGTTAGTGTAGCTAGTCAAGTGCTGCGCATACAGCACGATGTTCATTTAGTCAATTATGGTCCATTTAGAGTCAAACAGACCATAAAGAGGAGTATGCTTCAAGGCAGGCTTACTGTGATTGACAGGTCGCTGCCTCTACCAGAGCTGTACGCCGTCTCTACGTCACTCACTTCACACTTTTTTCCTCACCCTAATTAAGTGCTGTTGTTGCCAAAAGCTAAACTTCTTGTGAAGAAAGGAAATTACTACCAACTCCCACCAGGCAATTGTGTTCATAAATGTCCTCTTTTTCGGGGTTTGGCACAACCAACTTCAAAATGTTCCCAACATATGACACAGGTCTGCCTGGAATCATGCTTTTGGGACCCCGTGTGACAGCAAACGATTCGGGGGTCATGTTATGTAACGATCCGCTGTGTTGGATGAGAAAACTTGCTGGCACAGGCACTTGTGTACAAACAAGTACAGCACAGTAAAAATATCTCGGTTCCATGAATAACTTGCATGCTTTGCTTTTATAGTTATTTCTTTATTAAAACATGGCATTTCACCTCCAGCTTTTTCCCTCCATGACCCAGTTGAGAGCTGCAGTCACTGAGTCTCAGCCGGCTGCTTCCAGCTGACGGTGCACTCACACCCCGGCAACTATTGGTAATGCTTACCACTTCAAAATGGAAGGCGCCCTGGCGGTGTGGTGTGATGTATTCTGTAATTACATGCAAACATAACCGTGAGACGGAATGATAGTGCGAGTTCAAGTATTTGTTACAGCGAGGTGCAGAGCAAGCAAAAACTGAAAATACTGTAAAAAAGAAAAAAGCTGTTCTGGGACTCTGAGCTTTTTCTTCACAAGAAGCAGGTTCATGTTTTGGAATATTTGTTGACGGTAGAGGCGAACATTACCGATCACTTTGCCGACTCTAATCATATTATTTAGTTCAGTACAAAGATTGGTAGCAAGGTGCAAGGTACTGATGCAGAGTTTTTAATAACCATGATTAAAGTCTTTCACTAACCTTCACCATACTGTGGTCGCCATGTTATAATGTAGAAAGCTATTTTTTTTTGTCTGTTTTCAAAAACAAGGAAATGTAATATTGTTATCCAATGTGTCGCTGTTCTTTGCAGCCCAGATAATCATGTTCCAGCCTTCAACTGTGATATTGAGTCCGGTAGTTTCTGATTAAAACCTCACTAAAGGACAGTGAATACATAGATATTAGAAGTTGTGGTTACGGTTAATATGAATCCTAAATTGTCTGTGATGGGACACAAACTCTGGTCTCCTGCATGAAAGTCAAATGTGTAACTTACGCTGATACATAAATTGTGAGATTCAGAAATAATGTAGCATGTATGTAATTGTGCTGTGCTGTGTCTTCTGGCCAATCTGACACAGTGACATCAAACAACAACAAAAAACATTGAGTCAGATCCAACATCAAAGATCTCTTGATGCACCCCTCTCAATGACATGATGAAAGCAGCAGTAGCTTAGCAGTGCATCCCATCATGAGGGCAAGAAGACCTCCCACCATGTAGAAGGTAAGCGGTAAACTTCAGCACATTGCACCCTGCGCCCACACTGTAGCTGCTTGTTTGCACTGGGATTCATGTTCAAATGATATGCAAGGTAGCACGTTTCCCAGCGAGCAGAGGCACAAACAGGCGGACAGTTTGCCCGTTCAGTTGAGAGGAGACCTGCAGTACTTTGTCAACACAGTTCACAACTCTATCAGCATTTGACCTTCTCTATGAGGGGGTGCGCCGAATGCAATACAACCTTTACAACTGCAGTCACACAGAACACTATTTGGGATCATGCCCTACCTATAATTAACTCCTGGCTATTTAAAGACTGGAAGAAAATGAGATACGGGGGCAACTTTTTTTTCCCGCGCACAGCCAAAAATAACATGTCAGCTGACATCAATTAGCCGACAAAATCCGCTCATTAGTTTGTTTGAAGCTTGCACTAACAACACAACAACTTTGATGTAATCCAAGGCCTCTGTGGGAAAGGGTAGAAGCGAAAGAATGTTTTGATTGAACCACCAACAACGAGATAACGTGAAGATAATTAATACGTTACAATGGCGACGTGTTGCAGTGCAGAGAGACGGCTCTGACACGACGAAGAACTAAACTCCCGTCTCTCTCATGACTCCTATCGATCCCCATCCTCTGCGGAGGCCCCGGCTGGGCTAGTGTCAGCCGCTCGGCTAATTGGGAGGAAAAAACAAGCGAAAGAGGCGCAGACCTCATTGCGCCTTTGATCCATAAAACATGATGAGTTCAATTCCTGTCTCTCCTTTCATTAACTTAATCAACATGCCGGGAAATGAATAAAACATTCGGCGGGGAAAATGCAAAGTGAAAACAACAACAGGAAATGACTTCCCCCTGGTGCGTGTGCCGGTCGAGGAGAAACCTCTTTGACATTGAAGGGATTTTTAAATTTATTTTCTTTTATATTTTAACCTTCACTCCTGCACAGACACATGCTGTGGCAGCAGCCTAAAGGTCAGAGCGGTGGGCTAACAAGTGGAAGGTTGCCAGTGTGTGTGTGTGTGTGTGCGTGTGTGAGAGAGAACAGTGAGAACGAGTAACGCTCTTCCCTTTCCCATCCAACAACCATCAACACCTCCAACACTGCACTTAACCTCCAGCTGCTCCGGGGAGGCTGTGGTAGGACCGGGCAGATGTCACTGCGAGTGTCTGTGTCAATTTGAAGCACAGTGCTCCTGTAGAACAGCAGGCACGCACGGGAAGTCATCAGTGCATACATGCAGGTATAAAACCTTCAACAGTTGTTCACCTGTTCACCTTCCTTGAAAAGTAAAATGATTATTTTCTGTATTTACTATCTGTTGTCCCCCTGAATACTACCCCTGTGTAAGCTGGAATATTCTGTAGCAGCAGTAGTCATTGTTGTAGCAGTAGAATAGTACAGTAGTATTGCTGGTGGTGAATTTAGTAGTAGCAATGGCAGTAGTAGTTTTTTGGTGTGGATATGGCAAAGAAGCACTTGTGGTAGTGATGGTACTGCACATGTACTTATTATAATGTTAACGGTATGAGGAGTACTACCAATACTAGAAACAGTATAAGTATTTGTAGAAATAGCAGTTAGAGTGTTTTAAATAGCATTTCAATACTTTATATAGTAGGTATAGTTGTAGTGGTATTATAGTAGTAGCTGAAGCACTAGTGGTAGAAACTGCAGCGTAGGTGTAGTACTAGTAGCAGCAATATTAGTATGTTGTTATAGCAGCAACAAAGGAAACATGTAGAAGGACTAGTAGTACCAGTAGTATTGGTAGTCTTAGTATTTAAGGGTTGCAGCAGGAGAATGACAAGGTGAAAGCAGAGGATTGCAGCCATGTGTCCTGCTGAGTCGACAGCATGAACCGACGTTTTCAATCCAGCCAAACAGTAAAGCAGCTGGTTTCACTGATTAGTGTCCTTCCCTGGTTAACAATGTGCGTATTAATATATTACGGTCGACCAAGAAGCCATGGCACCTGGGATGTAATCCTAAACCAGTAGGGGGGAGTGTGGCTCCTGAGTCAGGGGGCTTAGCTTATATAGAATCTCTGAGCACACAGACTAAGTCCTTAAACCCACACTGTTGTACAGTGCCAGCGTGTGGACTGCACAGTT